TWRRAGTGATCGAGTCGAGAATCTAACCCGCAATCCTAAAATTCGACGCTATTCGAGTATAAAATTCTCTGTAAAATCAAAATAATGGCTCAAAAATAATTATTAAACAAAATCTACAGAAAACCAAGATGACTATAACAACTATATTATATTTACTTGAAAAAGAAAGAAGAAAAAAAAAGTGCTGGAGACGAGATTCGAACCCGCGATCCTCGTTTGGAGCACTTCTGAAAAATTCTTTTTTTTTTTTCTTTTTTTTCTTTTTTTTAACTGAAATATAATAAGTGTTCTAGTCATGTTAGATTTTTATCGTAGCAATTTGTTTTAGTAATATTTACGAGCCGAGTTTGTTAAAATGATACTCAGATACTCGCCGGGCGGCGTCGAACAGAGGGTCCCTTGGGATTGCTAAACTGCGACATGGTAAAAGAAATTGATAGATAAAGTCGCTGCATTTTATAACCGTGCCGCAGGCCTGGACACGGTAATAAAAAAAAAAAACAATCAATTCCCAATTTGCTAAACMAAACTTTTACAATGCATTAAAATGCATGCCCATCTTTCTGAATACTAATAATAAAATAAAATATAGTATAATAAAGTTTTGGTTCTTTCGAAATTCGACATGACCTTCCAAAAATGAATTTGGAAGGATATCTTGTCCTGCATAGTGTGGCCATTATTTTGAGCCCTGCAATCTCTTTGTATGTGCCTTTTTTAAATTATTTTGTTCATTCCTACAGATGAAGACGTAAAGGACGCAAGATCAGTAGTTCATGCAAAGATTCGTGGCTTTATGGTCCCCTTTCCACTTCCCAACCCAGAAGCATGCCATGACAGTGGCYTGACTTGTCCTTTGAAAGCTAATGGAACCTATGTATTAAATGCTGTATTGCCCGTTAAGCCTAAATATCCAAAAGTAAGTTAGTATAATAGTATATAAGCACTTACATAAGTGCCATTGAGTTCTTTCAATATTTTAATTGAAAAATGTTATTCAACGCTATTGTTGTTCAAAAGATCTAATAATGAGTAGACATTATTTTGGAAAGTTTTGAAGTATTCATAGATGAAATGCCAATGAAATCATCATGAGTCATTTGAATGCCTTCCTCTTTCCTTCCTCTTGTTCCCCATGCTCCACATCCCCTGCTATGAAGTGTTTGTGGGGTTTCCACTGCAGCACTGCGGAGGAACGACAAAAATAAAATAAGGCATTGTCTGAAAATTTCTTTATTTTAATATTTCTTTAATATTTTAAAAGACCTGGCTTTGCAGCATGACCATTTGCTCTTTTCCTTTTCTGTAACTCTTTCAGAAACTTCATTTTGAAGAACCTTACTAATAACTTTCATTTACTTTCATGCAGGTTGCAGCTCCAGTTACCTTCGAATTAAAAGATTCAAAGGGAAATGACATTTTTTGCTTTGTAATTTCTATTCACATTGAATAATGCAGAAATCTCTTAACTCTGCAGAACATGTTTCAATCGTGTTTAGCATAAAACTTGCTCGTCTGAGAAGTWTTTAGTTTTGACAATGAGACAAAATATTTTATGCATATCGAATTGTAATTGTTTTTTATAGGTCCGTGACAGCGTTGCGTGACACAATTCAATATTTTTAAATACATCGAGAACCAAAAAGTTGTATACACTCATTTTTGTTCTTATATCTTTTTTATACCCATAGTTATATCATATATAGTGTACATCATCATAGGATGCATATAGAGAATATATATTTTTGTGACGTCACATGAAGACCCAAGAATATCGTACCATTGTCACGTGATAAACACGTGTTGTTTTATGTCACGAGAACCAATTATCGACCAATGAGCATGTTTATGCTCCGAAATTCTTTCCTTCAAATCGAAACGGCCTTCTATCCACTTCTGTCACTTCTTGCTCCCTTATTAACCTAGGAATCATCTTCAGCATGGCTAAAATTGTGCTCTTCCTATGTATGTTGTCGTTTGGGTTTTGTGCTGCAAAAATCGTGAAATTCACTGTTTGTGGTAGGTCGCTATGTGTGTAGTTTTTCAAATGCTAGAACGTCTGGTCTCTGGTTAGATAAGCTTTATACCKAGCTATTCTTATATGACTATTTCGTACTTGTACAAAAGTTGGTGAAAAAGGAGTATTTTAAAGCATTATAAGTTTATATTTCTTTTCTTTAAAGCTAAGCTTATATAAGCTTAAGAGTTACCAATATATAAACTTAAGCTTAAAGCTTATTGCTGAAGTCTGAATATTGTAGAAATCTCGTCATAATTTTTTCCTTATTCCAATTTGCTGAAAAAATGACATCATAGACTGCTATTTTTGAGATTTTTATGATTGCACATCAAAATTCTATACATTTTATATAAGAATAAGTACCAGGAAAAATATAGCTCAGATTATTGGCTACCTATCATGATTCAGTTACTATACATTGAATTTATGAAGTTTCTGTTTTTTTCTTTTATCCAGAGGGTAAAACACTGAAAGGAAAACTTTCTGAGCTGGAGATTATTCCRTGTGAAGCAGAACCTTGTGGACTGAAGCGTGGGACGAATGTGACCATGAAGGCTCACTTTACACCTTGTAAGTTATTGGAGCAATATTTCAAATTCTTCCTATTGACAACCACCTTGAATTGTGATAAGAGGTTCATTTCCTATGGGTGCATACTATTATCCTTTAATAATTATTACTTAATATTAACATCCAGATCAGCATTTCTCAATCTCTTTGCATGTGCCTTTTTTATATTATTTTGTTCATTCCTACAGATGAAGAAGTAAAGGACGCAAAATCAGTAGTTCATGCAAAGGTTGCTGGTTTYAGTGTTCGYTTTCCACTTCCCAACCCAGAAGCATGCCATGACAGTGGCTTGACTTGTCCTTTGAAAGCTAATGGAACCTATGTATTAAATGCTATWTTGCCTGTTAAGTCTGAATATCCAAAAGTAAGTTAGATAGTACATGTATATAAGCACTTACATAAGTGCCTACCGTTTATCTCATACAATATTATTGAATATTCAACACTATTGTTGTTCAAAAGATCTAATAATGAGTAGACATTATTTTGGAAAGTTTTGAAGCTAATTTGTTTAGATGAAATGCCAATGAAGTTATACATGAGTCATTTGATAGCCTTCCTCTTTTCGCCCTCCCCYTGCTATGAAGTGTTGTGGGGTTTCCAATGCACTGCGAAGGAATGAAAAAATAACTAAGGCATTGTCTGAAAATTTCTTTATTAAGACCTGGCTTTGCAGCATGAGCATTTGCTCTTTTTTAACTGTGTAATACTTTCAGAACTTTTAAATTTACTAGTAACTCATTTACTCTCAATTGCAGATTTCAGCTCCAGTTACCTGGGAATTACAAGATTCAAATAAAAATGACATTTTTTGCTTTGTAATTTCAATTCACATTGAATAATGCAGAAATCTTTTGACTAATGCAGAAAATGTTTCAATTGCATTTAGCATAACACCTGCTCGTCTGAGAAGTTTTTAGTTTAAATTGTTTTTTTAATAAAGGATGAAAGAAACAGTAATATTAATATAAGTATTTAAATTGATGTGAAGAGATGATTTCATAATGTAGAGTTAACATCTGCCTGTGGAGATGATTGTACAGGATTCAGCAAGCAGGTTACAATGTTATTGTAGTCTTAGAAGATAATGTTATTTTTTTTTTCATCTGTACACAACTGTCAGTATGGCTGTAGATTATTTTAGAAAGCTGTTTTCATTTTTTGTCTCTATATAAACCTAAATTTCAGAATGTGAAATAGGCTGAAAGAACAAGGCTGCATTAGCCATAGTAGTTTAAGTGCATTGTTGTGCTAACACAATGATTAGTTTTAAATATTTAGTATATTTGGTCATGTTATTCACTATAGAGTGGTTTTCATTAACCTTTGAAATGCACKAKATCATARATKGTWATTGTATAACTTTACTAGACGTTTTTCATGAGATAATGAAATATTTCTACTTTTGAATTGTTGTTTCTTTATTAATATTTTGATATGATAAATATTGAAAAAGTGAAAGTTTTCAATTGAAACATTTTTATTAGTGGATATAAAATTCTGCCATTTATTAAGTGAATGTCAGCAGATTGCATGCCATATATATATATTGTGCATGGCAAAAAGTTCCCATTTTCCAGATCCAGACCTGGTGGTTATAGATAGATTAACTACAAATAAATATGGTATATTAGATCACAAAAATTATTATTGACACCAAGCTTTCAATTTCTATAAAGTCCTTGTAAACCTCATGAATAATTAATGAGGAAAACACAATAGAAATCACAACTGTGAAGAGTGTTGTAATATTTGATACAAAACTGTCTTGATTTGCATAAACTTTAAATCTAATTTTCTCAGCCAAATTCAATTTTATCTTTGAGTTTTAAGTAGATTATGAACGTATACACCTAAACGTTTCACAAGTAATTTACAACATT